AGGATTTGCTGTTTTATGACTTTGTTTTCCAAATGTCGAATTGGTGTGGTCGCCTTCCAGAATGTGTGCGTTTCCTGTTTGGACTTGATGTTAACTTATAGTTCAGGTGTCTAAAGAATGTGGCGAGAGCCCTGGAGACCACTGCCCAGGGAGACTTCCAGCAGTGTGTCCAGTTTGTCTGGAAGCCTCTGCCCTGTGCTTCAACTCTTACTCGTGAATTCCATGGCCCACTTGAGTGGGAGTGGGGCACGTGACACTCCAAGGGTAAGGGCAGGCCCAGCAAGACCACGGATTTGAGCAGGACCCTGCACAGGATAGACCTCAGGCCCTTGTGTCACCTTGGCCTTGGATAAAGCCACTTTATATGCTGGTGGGACCCTGAGAGCCAGGAGGTGAATCTGAGGCCCACCCACTCCCCCGCCTCAGGAACCCCATTAAACAAAACCCAGAGGTCCTGCCCGGGGGCTCCTGGTCTGGGCAGCAGTCGTCATCCTGGGACTTACAGACGAGGAAAAGCAAAAGAAACCTTGAAGCTGCTGCTCATGGGCCCCGCTGACAGATGAAGCCCTTGCGACTTCTGAGTGGGGGCGGGGGGTGGTCCGGTCTGTGGCTCTGGGTTTCCTGTGTACCCTGTTCTCAATATGCAGGACAGTGCCCTGATGGCTGGCAGCAGCCAGGCAGCTCAGAGGAATGACTGAATTGTGTGGCCTTGAGTGTGTGCTGGCAGGAGCTGCACCCTCTCCCTGGGGTTCTGTGTCCACCACCTCAGACTTACCCACTTAGTTGTCCCAGGGTGTGAGGACCAGGCCCCTTCATGCCAAATTCTGTCCCCCTGTTATCCTTAACCCCTCCCCTGAGCCCCTGGAGGGCCACAAAGGCTGGCAGGCCTCAGGCTCACCTCCTTCCAGGCCCAGGACGGGTTGCAGCCATTGGTGGTCACAGCCTTGTCTGCAACACCAAGGCCACAGCAGAGCAGCAGTGCTCTCATCTGTGAGTGCAGTTCCTGGGGCCTCTGCTGTGCCCTCCTATGGTACTGGCCCACACAGTAGTATCCAGGGCCCTGTCATGCTAGGGCTTTGTGGGCTTGGAAGTGCTCTCCAGGGATGGGTTTCTGGCTCTGGGCACACCCTGGCACTGTGTGGGTGTGTGCAGTTGAAGTCGGTGGTCTGCACATGGCTCTCAGGGCTGTCTTGTGGGCCAGCTGCAGGAAGCCCCAGCTTTGCAGGCGGGAGCTGACTGGGGTTGAGGCCCAGCTCTGGCCACTGTCCCTCCTGTTGATGTGGAGCCACATGTTTGGGGCAAGGAGGCCGGCACATCCCGGTTGCAGCTTGTGCCGATGGAAGGAGTAAGTGTATGAAGCACCTGGTCCTCCTCCACGTTGAGTGTCCCTGTGGTCATGGGGCTGAAGCACCCCGTTGCTCGTGGAGACATTGAGCACCCAGAGAAGC